CAAAACTTCCATCATTAAATATTATTCTACTGAAATGAAGAAAGGGTATGAGCTGTGTAGGACTAGCGGCTTGTATGAAAGAGGACATATTTGCATGGAAAGGTATATCAAGACATTCTTTTCTATGGAGTACAAGAAAAACTGTATTTGTTGTAACCTCACCTTGCTGCCACCTCCTAGCATCTGCCTAGGGCATACTACTGAAACCATCTACTGTTATTTGAAGACTTCCCCCAGTGATGTTACCATGGGAGATGATAGCCAGAAAGCAATGTTTGTAATAGACCTCTCAAATCTTCAAGTCACCCCCCCCCGCCTTGCTTTCCATTCAAAGTAGATGCTGGGAGTTGAATCTAAGATTTCTGATGGAAAAAGCAGGTCCTCTTCCACTAAAGTATAGCTCTGGAAAGACTTCTCATTTCATATTTTCTACTCTTCAGCAACAGTTTTATGGATGAAGCTGTTCAGTTGTGTCTGAGTCCTTATGGCGACAGTCTGTTCCCAAGTAAGGATGGATATTTTACACAGTATATGGAAAATTATTCAGGTGAATTGTTTAAGCTTCATTGACTCAAGGTTCTGAAAATACATTTAGGCTTTGTGTGGGCTAAAGTAGGAGGATAGCTGGCTATTAGAGTGAATTAGGGACACATAAAAATAAATTGTGTTGCAAACTGAACACCTAAAGGCAACTAACTTTATGAATACTGCGGCCATTCACTCTTGTTTATATGATGTGGCAATTTGATATGCTGTTCTTATTTAAATTGCATTTAATGAAAATACTTATAAACTAAACAGTATATGGAAACTAATGTACTATCAGAAATATTTATTAACATCTTGTTTTTGCCTTCTCATATATAGACTTGAATATTTAAAATGTGTTCTTTCAGTGTTCTCTGTCTAAGGACAACTTAATTTTAAAGGGAGCTGTATTTACGTGAGCATGATTTTACTAAGGTATATGGTTTAGTCTTCCTGAGAAAGATAACTAATCTTGTCTAGAGCTGAACCAAAATTTTTCAAGAAACTGTGAAAAAAAAGCCCACCCCTTTTTTCCCCTCAGAGGACAGTTTTGAGAAATATATACAGTGGTGCCTCGCTTAACAACGATAATCTGTTCCAGGAAAATTGCCGTTAAGCAAAAGCATCGTAAAACGAAAATAAAAACCCCATTGAAATGCATTGAAACCCATTCAGTGCGTTCCAATGGGGTAAAAACTCACAGTCCAGCAAAGATAATCCATACGGCGGCCATTTTCGCTGCCTGTATAGCAAGGAATCCATCCCTAAACACAGCGGGAAGCTATTTTAATCACCCGGTGGCCATTTTGAAACCGCCAATCAGCTGTTCAAAAAGCGTCATTTTGCGAAGAATCGGTTCCCGAAGCAGGGAACCAATCATCACAAAGCGAAATTCACCCATTCAGACCATCGTTTTGCGATTGCAATTGCAATCGCAAAAAGATCATCGTTAAGCGGATTCGTCATAATGCGGGGCAAGCGTAAAGTGAGGCACCACTGTATTGCAAAATTGGATATATTGCAAACATTTTAAATTGCTTTTATTTTTTCTTTTGTGCCAGACATGTACCTCCTCCTCTAAAATGTCTCAAAATTGTGTCATCTCTAGGATCTGGTGAAAATGAGAAATTATTGTCAGCTGCCATCACAGAAAACTACTTCTGTCTCTGCTGTTGTTGATGGATATGGATGGCGGGGCAGAGGGGAGGAAAAAGAGGGACCATAACTCAGCAATAGAGCGGATGCATGTGAAAGATTCCCAGATAGACTATTGGTGTCACAAGACAGGGCTAAGAAAGAGGCTCAGTTGAAAAGTGGGAGAGCCATTTGAGTATCCTAGGAAATATTCAGTTAGCTAAACCAGTGCTCTGCTTCAGTGTTAATGGATTTATCAGAAAGAATCTGTATTTCTAATAATAATTCCCTTACATGCACATGCATGCAGACACACACAAACACACACACAAAGTAAATGTATTCTCTCTGGAGATATTCATATAAATGCTCCCCATATCAGCTGACTCCCAACCGGATATAGAATTTTGGGCGGGGGGGGACTTTTGAGTGGGGACTCAGCTCTAGATGAAGAATCTTTGGAGTTTTGTTGCATGTTGGAATTTGGATCTAAGTCTCCTGAACAATAGCCTGACACTCTGTCTGATACACCACACTAGCTATGATTTCAGTATTTAACCTGATGTAATTCCAATCACATGATAAGCAGAGCAAGCCTGTACTTGCTGGCCCTGTTCCCTCCCATTTTCCCCCATTGATAATACACTCCATACAGGGAAGGTCTAAAGCAAAAAGTCTACATGTTACAGATAGGCTCTGTACAATTTTAGAAGCCTGCACTGTTTTCACCGTTGTCATCATCATCTTAGAACTGCAGAGCTGGAAAGGACCCTATGGATCATTGAGTCTAGACTCTGTCAAGGGGAGTGGCCAGAGACCAAAGCCACTTAGCTGTCCAGCAGTTCCCTGATGTTAGAACTGCAGAATTGGAAGGAGACCTCTTAACAGGCGATGGTGGTGGCTCCCCCTGGGGAGTTGTGGGCCAGGTTGGCCAAAGGAAGGGAAACCAAAGTGAACATTAGATGGAGCTATTTCTAGTTTTGTTTCCTTCCTCTTCGGCTGCAGCGCTACTACAATGCCTGTGTCATAGCATACTAGTAACTCTAAAACATTTAACATCTAACTGACCTGAGCAATAGCCTGTTACATTGGTTCACTAGCCTTCAAAACATTGAGCTTGATTCATTATGTGTGTGTGTGTGTGTGTGTGTGTGTAAGGGAGGGGAAGTATGATATCTATCAAGGTTTCTACCAGCCAGATGGAGGCAGTGTTCCATTTGCTTTGATGGTCTACTCTACTGCTTATTATGGAGACATATAGCATAACCAAGGATTAGTGATGAGAGCATAATGGAGGGCATGGGGTGTTGCTGCCATATAATGTACATCTCATTAGGACAGCATCCCTGAACAGGGTTACTGGATTGATCCAAAACGAAATCTGACCAAAAATATAACAGCTAGTTTGAAAGTCTTTTTTTTATTACTGCACAGCTTTGTGTAGTAGAATGCTGTACTTTTTCTGTGAGCAGAGCAATCATGCTTTATGAGCATGTGTTTCATTCACCATCTTAGCAGATTGACAGCTATAAAAAGAAAACCTAATGAAACATTATGGGACAATGTATGCCATTGTGGAGTGCCCCTAGCATGACATGATTAATAACTAATAACTAGTACTACCCAGAGAGAACCTTAACTTTGCCACAATATCGGGGGGGGGGGGATGCTTTGTGGCATTATGACTGACCTAAACTTCTAATTCAAATAGTCAAAGCTTTCCATGAACATTAGTAGTTGGGGGTTAAAGGTTGACTCTAAAAATAATGGAAACGTAGCTGAAAAGTGTAATAAACTTGATGTCTGAAAGTTCATTGCCTGTACAACTATCGGGGTAGGTTATAGCAGTGCTGTTATGCCTTTGAACTGCCAGTCTATGTTTATTGGTTTTAGCTTCATTACATAATGGTATAGCAGTAAGATAATGTTGGAACCAGTGGACAGTGAAATTGTGCCACAATATTGTGCAAGCTTTTTATAGTCTGCCTGCTGCTTGCTGCACATCAAGGCAACACTTCTGCCAATAGTAATAGTAACACACACAAAACACATACCAATATTATTTCATGTTGAAATGGAGTAGTTAGTTGTAGCAGACTAAAATATGAAAAGTTCCCAAAAGGTTGTGTGAAAGCAAGTAAGCAACAATTGTCTTGAATTGAATTTTGGGTAGGTTCATGGGTTTTAGAGATGCTTTTAGCAATGCAAGATGGTGTGCTTAACATGGCTAGTGAAAGGTATCAATCTTTCTATTCAGTTCACTGCCTGTGAAAAAACAAAAACAAACAAAAAACTACCACTTGCTAAATTCTTCATTCAAACTGTCTTGACTCAACAAGAGACTCTGAGGAATTTTAACCCCCTCCTTCAAGATTTCTTATCTTCGGGCAAGATCAAAACAAAGTGTTTTTCATGTCAATGGCTGAAATCCTGTTGCTTAACTTTGTAAGTCACAGTAGGATAGGCTTTGGTGAGTCAACTTTGCTGTAAGTTCCATAGATTCTAACTGACCTACTTAGTTGTCTTACCCTGGCATAGTATACTGAAACTAGAGTAGACCCATTGGAATCCATGGAACTTATAGAGGAGGCAACTCACTAAACCTCCACTCATTCACTGGGCCTAGTCTAGTGCACTGGTTCTTAACCTTGGGTTACTCAGGAGTTTTGGACTGCAGCTCCCATAAGCCTTCACCACCAACTGTGCTGGCTGGGGTTTCTGGGAGTTGCAGTTCAAAAACATCCGAGTAACAAAGGTTAAGAACCACTGGTCTAGTGCAACTTACTATCCTAAGCAGCAGAATTTCAGCCAGTGTTTCTGTAATTTGTATGACCCGTCTTTGTAAAATTGGTGTCTGTTCAGTTTGAGAAGCAGAGTAGGTACATAATGCAAACAATAAAGGGATTGCCTAATTGCTACAAATTGAATGATGTAGTGCATCTGTAAGGAAACTAGCAAGGAGAGAGTTAAGTAGCTAAAGATGAGTTGGATGGGAGGCAGGAAGCAAATCCTAATGAGAGAGACTTGCTTGTGTGAAAGTGTTATCAGCAGCCTTGAAAGAAAGAATATTATGAGAATCAGTGTGTCTTGGACCTTCAGGGTACTGAAATTAATGACACCTGTGATATCTGATGAGTCATTCTGACAGAACTTGCCTACTAGCAGAGTTTGAGAAAGAACACAGCATGATAGGCTGAAAGAGTTGACCCACCCAGAGAAGGGATGATGGGATGTAAGGTAAGAAAAGAATGTCTCAGTCAAACAGCTTGACAAATAATTTTTAATAGTTTATGCTCAGCTAGTTGTTTGCCTCATTCTCAGTTTATAATCTAATTTTGCTATGCTGTTGAACTCTGCATATGCACTGGAGCTATGCTCCTTTGTAAGTATAGAACTAGATAGGTAGCTTTTATTATTTTCTGTGAGTCTGTCTCTGAATGAGGTGTTTTTTTTTGCTTTTTAACATGGAACATTATTATTCTTTTAGCTCTAAACCTACTTTTCAGAACAGGTTTTTGGTGTTTTCTACCTTGCAAGGTTGGTTTGCAGTCAAAATCAACAACCTGAATTTTTTGTCTCTCCTGGGAGCACTGAAGGAACACGTTCAGCTCAAGGGTGTTGGGAGAAGAGCCTCATAGGAAGCTTTTCCTAACTGCTAGCATATAGAACCTGCCTGGCAAATGCCCACATAGGTTAGGTGGGGGTAGTGACCAATAGCCCTCATAAATTTTAAATTCCGTGCAATAAAGCAGCAGCATTTTGTGCAATTGGTATTATTTCTATTGATGTTGTATTGCATTTAGAGTTATTTGTGCAATTTTGCTTAATTTTGCACAAAATAATTGTTCATGTTCAAGTTTTTGTCAAGAGCACCACCACATATTTTGAGCTCTTGAAGTATGAAGATAAGGATTTTGTGGTTCATCATTCTCACATGAATCTCTTTGAACAGCCTAAACAGATGAGAATGAAGAATTTAGTGAATCATCTTTACATCCCTATTGGTAAGTCATTGTCCTTGTTTGAAAGATGGAGCCGTTATTTCCACTCTTAATTTGATCCAGTGAGCATATGGAAAATGATGGTTAAACCAGTAGGGATTTATTATTATCTGTAAAATGTATTTACTACTGGTTTTACATTTGCTCATGTATATTGTATAGGAAGCTTCAGAAGTTATCCAGATTGGGTCATAAGGTAATATTGTTTTCTCTGAATGTGTCACAGCAAACAGAATGAGAAAATGGGAAAAATGAATCTAGTGCTAGATAAAATTATGCTGTGAATTCCAATAACCCAGGGTTTTAGTCAGCATGATCTGAGTAATGTGGATTTATCTTGATAAAGATAAAATAACGAGTGCAACGTTGTGCAAGGCCTCTTTGGAAGGAAAAAAAATTAAATTGAGTCTTTCTTTAAACTTTGCAAAGGAAAGTTTGGCAGTTTTAGGAAGGCTGGTTTTCTCTTTGGTACAATCAACTCATACATCAGATAAATACAGCCTTGGCTGTGTAATTTTGTACACGTCTTCTCACCAGTAATTTACAATGGAGTCATTGAGGTTTAGTTCTTGCCACATGTACAGGGGGCAGCCTTAGGTTGTAATTCTCGCCTAAAGTCTGCCCCACTGAAACTTAAGAGATTTACTTTTAGTAGAGATGTAACAGATTTGTGATCTTGGTTTGAAGAAGCTTTGTAGGGAAATTGAGTTACTGTTGCAATATGTTTTCCCCTCTATTCCTCTCTGTTATGAGAGATCTGAAGAACACACAAGTGATAAAGCTATCCAGGATAGGCATTGGGTCTGAAAGTGTGTAGGCCATAGAAGGTGGTGAAGTCCAGCCTTCCACCATCCCCATTCACACAGACCTTAATGTTTTCAATTGAATGTATTTACAACAGCTGAACATGAGAAAACCTACAGAACTTTCAGGTGGGATAGTCACATGGTGGATATCAGCAGCACTGTATCTGTCAGTTCTTTGATCTCACATACATTTAGGCTAAATGCCTGAATAGGGGTGTTGTCTCCATTAGACAAGAACAGAACACCTATAAGAATAAATTGCCCACTCCACCCAGATGTAATCAAGCTGATTACCAACTACTGCCTAAATGGTTTCCAAGCTTGGATGTTCTTGGACTACCGTATGTCGCTGCCAGGCTGCCCGCCGCCCCGCGCCCCTGAGCTAGCTGCGCACTCACTTGCCCGCCACCCGCCCGTTTCCCCTCTCATATATATATACCCCTCCTCCTGTTGGGGGGGGTCATCTTATATGGCCGGTTGCCTTGTGCGCCGGCAAATACGGTAAAACTCCTAGAAGCCTTCACCACCAGCTGTGCTGGCCAAGACTGCTGAGAGCTGTAATCCAAGAACACCTGGGGATCCAAGATTGGGAACCACTTATCTAAATTATATCATAAGCACGTCTATAGACTTATGCAGGAAATGCCCTTGAATGCTTTTCTGCAATCAGACTTGGCAACTCTTTACAGAAAGATCTAAGGGCCAGATTGTCTGCTTCCAAGTATCCCAAACTTAAAGGGGAAAAAATTGGATTTGAACAGTTGATGTTGCTGTCACTGATATGTGTTCATTCATTGGGAGATTGATAGCAGAAAATGAGGAGCACAATATAATTCATTAATTTTATACTTGCTTTCTACCCTCTATGAACCACTCAGGGTAGCTATTTGTCTGAAAGCCAACTCAGAAATAAATTGTAACACAGCATCCACGCCCACACACCTGAAAAGGCTATTGACTACTGACTATTCTAAGATTACTTCAGTAAACCATGAGCCTTAGTGTCTAGTGGTTTCCTGGAGTTGTAATACTTTTTTTTCAAATTTCTGGATACACTCTTCCTGGCCTCAAATTAGGATAAACAATAGGATATACTCCTGATCATCTGTGTCTTGTCATGGACCATGTTTGTTTTGCTTCTTGAAAAATGGGAGAAGGAAAATTCCAGCGTGTTACTTCAAAAATATGGACAGGTAAAGAGCAAAGACTGTCTCTGCATTACTATTAAAGGCAGGCTTTAAGAAAGCTTGAGAGCTAGTCATATTTTGTGTATATCGTTTACTTTTCTTCCAAGAAACTGATAGCACCTTTCTGCGTATACAAAGCTTTGAGGCCAATATTATATTTAAAATGTAGATTAATCTAACAGTAGAATTTTGTATATATCTGTTTAGAAAACAACCTCACCTGCTCTGTAGAGTTTACTGCCAGACGTGTGGGAGTGTGAAAATATAAAGTAATTCATTATTGCAGAAGGTCAGAGTCTGGAAAGATTAGCAAAACACTTGGTAGTTTTCGAAGGCATGTAATAGTGCTAGATACCTGTGTTGAATTTCTCTCTGTAATGGAACTGTTGGAACAAACAAGGACTCTGGCAGAAACAAAAGTGTGTTAATACTCATTTGGAGTGAGTAGGAAGAAAAAAACAACTGCCTTGTTTTGAAAGATGAAGTGTGAAGACAACTTATGTACCATTGTGTGTCATCATTTTTATCCACTTGCATCACTGAATCATGATTTTTTTTAACAAAGGGAATTAGTGTAATGCTTATTTTGGGAAGCAAACTGATGTTCCGCCTTCCTCTTTTTCCCCTACTGATTCTGGGTGTGATTTGGAAAAGCTCACCTTTCTTGATTATTTTTACCTTTTGTTAAATGAATGTTGGTTGTAATTGAAAACAAATGAACAAGAAAATTTGACAGGAAGAGTTAAAACAAAAGGATAAGGATGTGTGGGATGTTTGGGAGAAGAAAGGAAAATGACAAAACTATTGTTGGAGAATAACTGGATAAAAGAGAAATGAAATATACACTGGCCAGGATCCTACTGGTGTTGTAAGGTCTGTGTAATTTGCTATGGCTAATTTGGGATACTTGGCAAAGTGGTGGGGTATATCTTAGTCATATGCTTTACCACCTACATGAATGTGCACCAAGATGTATCTCACTGTTCTGGTTGTAACTGCTGCTTTAGTTGCAATACCAAAAGTCCTAGAAAACCATCTTTGTACTTTAGGCATAAAGGAGATCATGATACCAAGTGCAGAAGGCTGTCTTGGAACAGCACATATTTTAGGCTGATGCCTACAAATATCCTAGGTTCTTGGGAATGATGTGATACTCAAGAAACAAAATTCAGGCAATATTTGATGGACTGTTTATAATGGAAATAAATTGACGAAGGTTATGATGATGATTATAACCTTTCAACAAGGTTGTCCACCAAAGTTTTCTCTATAAAAAGGTTAGGGAATATATGAACCTCCAAATGTTTTTGGATTGCAGGTCTCATAATCTTTGCCAGCATAGTCAATAGTGAAGGATGGCAGGAATTACAGAGTAACACCATCTGAAGGGCCACGTGTTCTCACATCTGTTGTAGAGGCTCTCTCTTGTGTGTCCATTTACTGACCTCTATGATCAGTGGTAAAGAATAGGGATAAGAAGAATATTAAAATCACAAACACATTCTCAGCTATTTTATCATACATACATCAGTTTGGTTCACACAGAACACCTTTCAATAAAGCACAGACCCTGAACCTATCAGTTCTGGCTAACCATACAGACACCTGAACCTATCAGGTTGGTACTGACTGACACACAGTAGTACCCTGTCTGACACACAGACTCCCACTCAAGCTTCTTCTCTCAGCTCTTCTCCAGCTTCTCTCTCTCCTTCAGCTTCACACAAGCTCCACATATATATACAGTACAGCCCCTCCTCCTGATGTCCCGCCTTCCACTCCCCATAGGATGGAACTTTCCCTCCAACCCATGACAGACAGGTAACATCAGTGCTGTATGTAACAAGGGAATATATGTACCTTCAAATGTTTTTGGATTGCAGGTCTCATAATCTTTGCCAGCATAGTCAATAGTGAAGGATGGCAGGAATTACAGAGTAACACCATCTGGAGGGCCACATGTTCTCACATCCTGTTGTAGAGGCTCTCTCTTGCGTGTCCATTTACTGAACTCTGTGATCAGTGATAAAGAATAGCGATAAGAAGAATACTAAAATCACAAACACATTCTCAGCTATTTTCCAAGTCTTGCCATGCCAAGACCCCTCCACACCAGTGATATTTCTCAGCTTCTCATGTAAACAAGACTCTGGCCTTTTTTCCCTAGCCTTGCTTTTCAAGTATGCTTTTGTCAAAGTCTGCTCTTAAAATTTAAGTAAACAGAAAACAGGACTTCACAAGCTTGAGGTCTGATCCCCCTGAATTTGTATCACAAGTATTGTGTTATTGGTAAAGGCAATATGTTACTTCTAGGGAACCACTATTTTAAATGTAACAATCAGCTATATGGTTACTATTTGTTACTTTGTTCAGAAAACTGTTCAAGGTGTGTTTGTTTACATAACTTGAAATAATACTTGGTAAATTGTTCATTCTTGTATAATTTACACAGCTATGGGAACTACACAGTCTTGCACACATGCAAAATGTGTCCAGTGTGGGAAAATTAGCAGTTTTTGTACAGAACAATATTCTTTTTTAAAAAAAAATATTATCTAAAATATAAACATAAAATACACAAACCAAAATACTGTGTTCCCCACCACCATAGAACAATATTCTTGTCAATGAGAGAACTGTAACAACATTGGCAGAAGATTCCTTGACACCTTTTCTGGAGAGGATTATGTGTAAATTCCTCATTCTTTTCTATGAGGCTAGGTGCACCGGGAGGTGGTGGCGCTGCGGGTTGAACTGCAGAAGCCTCTGTGCTGCAAGGTCAAAGATCAGCGGTCGTAAGATCGAATCCACGTGACAGAGTGAGCTCCCGTCACTTGTCCCAGCTCCTGCCAACCTAGCCGTTCGAAAGCATGTAAAAATGTGAGTAGATAAATGGGTACCACCTCAGTGGAAAGGTAACGGTATTCTGTGTCTAGTCGTACCAGCCACATGACCACGGAAACTGTCTACGGACAAACTCTGGCTCTATGGCTTGGAGACGGAGATGAGT